TGAAAATAACAATTATAATTTTTTATACGAGCATATCTTTGTGTTTTTAACAATAATCGTTTGATGGGAACACTTTCAAAGTTCATCCGGTTCTTCAGCACCGAAAGTCCCACGCGCGCTGTACTCGCATGTGTGTTTAAAATGTATATATATAGATAATTAGAAAGAGTTCTGTAAAATAACATGTCCTGTACAGGACATATGTCGTACACACTATTCGCGGCCCTACAAGACGGTTTTCTTATTTTTTTATTTCGGGAATGCGTACACATACAATTTAATAATAATACGGAGGAGCACGTGGTCTAGAATACGCCGCAAGCTCCGTGGCGCGTCCCGGTCCAGGTGTGTGGTTTTGGCATACTTTCATCCGGCTGCTACAGTGTGGCACCACGTGAACGCTATACTATAATTGGTGAGGCTTCGAAACATGTGTCGCCAAGACTCCACTTATGAGAACGTCGCAGCTATTTTCATTTTCACTCGACTTGGCCAGCTGACTTAGCCGTCCCGAGTGAAACACACAGAACATAATCCGAGGCGATTGCTCCACACTCGCGTGGCGTAAATAGATACACTAGAATTTCTCCGTGTACGCGCGAGCACCGTCAATGTGTTATTATTTATTGTATTGTCATACGACGTCCAAAACACAATATAAAACGGTTTTATGCGCTCGACGACCGCCGAGACATCTGGCAGCGCGGAGTACCGCCGGAATGGCCGGTACCGTTTGGAACGGTTACAAGTGTGAAAACGATAGATTGCCTAAAAAAATATTGGCGCCAAAAGTGGTGCACGTTTCAAAATGCCCAGCCGCCAGAGCAGTGCCATAGCTCGTGTGCTTTGACGCGCACTGCAATCTCCACTTGAGATAGGTTAAGGATTTTTTACTGGCAACTTGGATCACTACACAAAACATGTCTCAATGATCCAAACGGTTTCGTGATCGATAACGTAAAATATTTATTGTTATTGTCACAATCTTAAACAGCCGCCCGAATAACACACGGACTTGTATTTCATACCAAGTCGAGAAGGTTGTTGTTTAATATTATTTATTTTCGTTGCGAGTTCGGCTAGTCTTACAACGTGTTAGAATAAAATATCACTATGGACATTCGCGTGGATGTTATTGTCGTTGAATTCACTCCTACAAGTTAACGATCTCTAAATTTATAATAACCATGCAAAACACGCACGAGGTCACACTAGGGTTTGCAAAAAATTATTTTTAAAGATACGCGAAAACCGCACAATTCATTAACGCACACGACGTTGGTACGAGACATGACGAATTTTCCGCGTGTTTTCAGTCGATCTAGTTTTGGACACGTGGGTTTGATTTATGTAAGAACATCGAGATCTGTTTGCGTATAACGCATGTGACTCGCGCGGTGTAAAATCCCGTCGAAAAAAAATACAGTAATTTTTATTGTTGATATTAAATTTCAACAACGCGACAAGTCCCTTTAGAATGATGTCCAACGCCGCGGACGGATCTATTAGCGGCCCTTCGTTTCGACCTTCCCGGGATAAGCCCCGTTTAAACACAACAAACACAATATTAAACAGACATGGCGACGAGGGGCCTACAATTTATTTATTTATGTGTGTTTGGGTTGGGACCGTATGAAACAACAGTAAAAATATTGTATACCCAATTGGAAATTAAAAAAAACGCGATGACAATATAAGGAGTCTTGTAAACTATGAATACCGTATGGAGTCAGGGCGAAACGGTTGGGTATGGAGGCCAAAAAAAAAAAAAAAAATAAACCTTCTTTTACTATTGTGGTGTCGAGTCATAAAACAGCATTGCACCCGTACAGGTGTTTCGGGAGTTCCATTGGAAATCGCGTTATTATTATTAGTTGTATTTTGGTTTTTTTTTTCTATTAGGTATTTATGTCTCCTCGAGAAATTCAATACGTTTGACCAAAAGCGAACCAGTAATTATTATGTGCGTCGTGAAAGGCTTGTGTGAACACAACAATCGACACATGCGAACGCACAACACACTGCGAGAAAGGACATGAAATACGACCACGCGAGACAAGTCGTGTGCATAAAACAGTGACGATGTAATATTTTGTCTCCTCTATTCTTTGATGTCTAATTTTCAAAACAACCGAAAACAACACGTGTGTCTTACAGCTAAGAAAACAATCGATCGACGGCGTCGTTTGTCCGAGAAACGGCTGAAATCGATTGACCCCTTTGAACGCTTAGCCGGTACACATAAATCTTCTATAATTGTGTTATGCAATCGAACAACACTTTTTTAAGTTGGATTCATTGAAATCTAAAACCGATATAATTCGTGTTGTTAAGCGATTCAAACTTTCGGTTGCAGAAGCGCATTGTGAATCTTAGTCGATTGTTTGTCTGTTCGAGTGATTCATTTTGCAGGTTTTCCGAGGTAAATATATTTTTTTCGACTTGTTTCTCTTATAGAACAAATATTTAAAAATGAATATTATATAAATATGAATTTTTAGCTTTTGAGGGGGAGACAATTCGGTGTTGTTGTTCGGTAACGCTCCTCATTTTTTAGCAACTAGAGTGCCCCCTCGTTGTTTTTCTCACTATAACCACTGTCCACACACGTTGAACTTTACGGACGAGAGCAATGTTTTAAAAAGTCTAAGAACACTCGTTCATGTATATATAGAACGTGACACCTCGGCCAGATAGTAAGGACCGTTTTAAAATTAGCCGCTTGACGACATGGATCACATATATTATTACCGACACACGTGCTCTCCGCCTTATCACATCAAAAGAACACAGTGCCGTTTTGAAGTCACCGACCTGTAGTTAAGTGCGGCGGACGGACCACCTGAAATTCGTCGGTCCGAGAAAAGACCTTACCTGTTCGTTGGCTTTAAATACTTAAATTCCATTTAGGCGTTAAAGGTAACGCCAATAGTGTGTAATTTACAGTTTTCATGATGAACAATAATAATAGTAATAACAGTAAAAGAAATTAACGACAAGACGTACTGCTTGCACATACGTTCAATTCGATTGGATTTACTCGAAATAGATTATTAATTACTGTTATTAAATGAGATTTTATTGAAAATAAAATACGGCGTTTGGGTACGTTAAATACACGTGCGTTCGACTATTTAATTGCCAACATATGTAAATGAATTGAAAACACGAGCTTATGAAATTGACAAATCTTTTGAATTAAATTTTTTGTTATGTAATTGATAATTTTTATAGTTTTATTTTTCGAATCCATTTAAAACGATACAACGGAAAATTCACGATGATATTTTTCTTCGCCTATTTATATGGAAAATAATAATTTTATTTTTTGGAATCTTTATTTTTAAAGGATTTCTGTAACTCGGTATTGTAATAGTGCTGAACAGTTTTATCACACCACGATACGTACAAATCTAATCAATTGTTAGCTGTTTTTTTGTTGACGCTTTAACACAATAACTGCGTTATTTTTTTTGTGCGAATTATAACTGTTATAAATGATTACAAACGATGTCTACAAATTATCGACTACAATTCCGGACAATGCTAGTAGTTTTTAAAAATTGAATTGCCCGCAGTGATTTATTATTGTTGTATTTATCTGTCCAACAATAAAAATCGACTTGTTATCGTACGTTTTTCTTGTATTATTCTAATATAACGGGAAATTTCGTAGAAAAAACAATTGGATTTATTAAAAAACAATTATCGATGAATTAATGTCGGTTCCGCGTTGATGTTGCAACCTAAAACATATATTGGAACATGTAGCCCAACACACGGCCTCCCAATAACAAACACTGTATATTGTTGTTATGTTATTGTAGTACACCTTAATGGTAGACGGCCGCCTTGAAATTTTTAAATAACGACCTTAGTCGATAATCATTTAAAGGCATTGCATAATTGCCGTGTTATTTTCGGTGTCGGTACACTGCCGTGGATTTCCTACAAGGCAATCGCAAACGTAATAACCCACAGAAACACATCATCAAAATAATTATACGCCATAGTCAGAACTACAATGAACCCGTTGCGTGTGTTGTAAAAATATGCAATTAAACTAATCATCGAAAGTCTCGTGCAACTCAAATCTCTGTCAGTCGTCCAACTCGGTGATGTTTTACACCGCCGGTGTAAAAAAGCACACACGACATCATAACAATTGTAAATATTAATAGAACCTCCTTTTGACATTTGCTAATCGGATTGCGGCGTTTGAAAAGCCTCGGCCGGCGACGGCAAGTTAAAAATATTCCCAACCGTCGCGCGATGATAAACACTGCCGAGAGATAATTGCGACGGTCCCAATGTATGTGAGCCCGCGGTGCTTCCGCTGTACGTTGCACGTGCACTATTATGTGTCGTAAGCGAACCGGCCTGACACCGATTCAATTGGGTATTTTTTTATCATTACCGCTATTAGGCGAGCCCTGTTTTATTTTTTTTTTCGCCGGACGATCACAATCCGTTAGATAACGTCACGGAACACGAATAAAAATAATAATAACCGTACTAGGCGATTGCTATTTTTCGAGTAATTATTTCTACGTTATTAAAAAAAAAAAAACACCTAGTCGTCCGAAATCGCTATAACGACTTTTGAAACGGTAGCCGACGCTTTACTGGCGCAACTCATTTCGCATCACGAGACGCAGTTGTTTTTTATCTGCGGCGGCGACGACGACGTTCTATGTGCCTCGAACAAGTCGCCACCAACGGCCAAGAATAACGTCGTGTGTACAACACTTCAATGTTTTTATAGTAGTAATAATAATTTTTAATATACAGTAATAATAACGACATGATAGTAACACCTCGTAGCTCAGAGAACCGTTCCTTTACGGCGAGCAACTTACTCGTCTCAATTGTAATTTAAAAAACTTTTCGGGACACCAAGTCGCGTTGCCCGTTACACACTTTTATTATTGGATATCATCAAAATGTTTTTTTTTTTTCAGAAGTTAAACATGGTCGTTAGAAATAAGAAATACATTGCGTTTGTTTGTAATAAATCGTTATATAATTGAATTATTATAGGCTAGTAACTCAAGTAATTAATATACCCAAACAATATAAATCATTTAATAAAAGAAAACAAAAAGAGAAAAAAACTATATACTTCAAAGAAATAAGAGCGCACCACGTACACGCTTTACATAATCCAATAGATTTATGTATAAATATTTGTATATCTACTGTATGGTTTACATAAAATTCATTACATGCCATTGAGTGGATTATATAAAAATAAATATTTTCTCAAATGTTTTAATCCACCCGATCGTGTTTTACATAAATAAATTTTGAATTTTATAGTTGTTAATATGGTAATTGAATACCAATAAAAAATCTATACAAATACTAAAATCTAGGCTCTACGACGATAGGATCACAGTCATAACAAAAAAATAAAAATAAAATAATAATAACAATTAGGATCGTTAACCTAAATCTGTACAACTAAAAAAAACGCGCTTTTCATAAACAAAACAAAAGGTGAGTAAAATAAAACCCAACGGGAGTTTTTCAAGAGTTCTACTTTTTGGAATGTGTCGACAGTAAATTCAATTCATCGTAATTGTTTAATAATTTTCCCAGAAATTTGCCGAAGGTTACTGAATGTCGACCAAATCGAAGGTGTTGTTTGAATTGGGTGACAATAATTTCGGTGTTTGTGACGACGACGACGACGGTGATGATGAGCAACGTTTTTTCTTCATAAAATAATTTATAACTGATTGTTAAATTGTTAAATCTAACAACTAACGGCTCTTGATTCTGGCGAATTCGATAGCTTGTCCTGAGATGCTCGAGAGCTAGGAGAGATAATCTGTAACAACCAAAAAATGGAAAACTGTAAAAAGACGTTGATTTTTCATGACTTTTTAATTGTGTGCATATATCGACCAATTTTTAAATGGAATTATAAACAAAATAGTCGTTATTCTATTTATGTATTAATAACTAGGGGGAATGATTACATTGTCTGGGTATTTTAAAAATAATCGAAAAACGACGAGTTACAAGAGATTGTTGAACACACTTAATTTTTTTAACAATAGTGCAGAAAGATAAGGTTGGTAAATGAAACTATTATATTTTGCACAACAATAATTACAATAAGTGGGAGTACGGGCTAGAAGAGAAAGTTTCTAGTGTTGTTATTTTAACATTGAACTCACCGGTTGGGCAGCAGAGGACGACGAATTTTGCGGTTGTGTTAGGGCCATAACCGAGGCTCCGGTTTTGGCCAGAGCATTTGGCGCTGATATGATACCCAAAGGTTGTCTGACGGCGGCCGCTTGGACGGACGACGAGAGCATGACGGCCGCAGCGGCCGTGTGTACCGCGTCCGGGTTAACCGACCGATGGTTTTCCAACATGTCCTCCAAGTCACAAATGTAATCGATGACGTGGTGAATTACTTCCAGTCGGGATATTCTCTTATCCTTAGGAATGAGTGGCACCAAATCTTTGAGCTTGGACAAGTACTTTTGGATTTTCTCGTCTTCCAAGTTTTCGCGTTTCCTGTGCACTCGGCCACCGGTTACGGCTCCGGATTCACTGTTACGGCACAACGGTACGGATTTCATTTTTGTACGATTGAAAGAAAAACCGAATACAATAAAATGCAAGTGATGTAAGGAATATTACAAGTTACCGATTGTACGGCGCACTGTTGAGAGTCGGCAGAACTGAACGGCAGCGAACGGGTACGACGACTGATGATGAGGGCCAGCCGTCCGGTGGTATTTATAGAGAGAGCGGCGGCCGCGCAGGACGGTTGGTGGAGGCAGAGACACGACGACGAGGCCACGCCCGCGACGTGGTGGCGGCGGCGGCTACACGGATTGAATGGATTTCAAAGAGTTCCCGTAGCGCTCGCACGCACAGCGCTCCTATCGAAACGGTACGTACTACGGCCGCCGAACGCATAAAAACGACGACCACGACGACTCGCACACCTGACACCTGCCTCGTCGGCGGCCACCGAAAAATACCACAGAAGATTTCTCCCGCCGCCGCCGCCCGTCGCCCGTTCTCCCGGGGCGCACAACACATAGCCGGGCCAGTTGGCGTGGGAACGCGAACTGGTAGAACGTTCCTTATACATAATACATCAGAGTGTATGTGTTTTTTATTATTTAATTATTATTCTGATCCGATTCAATAGTCGATCGCGTAAAGCTACTGCCCTAAAATCATCAAATTTCTGTTGCACTGGTTCAATTAAACATAACTTACGACGACCACGACTGCTGGTCAATAGTTTCATTCGTGTAATTGCTGTAGCCAAAGTGATGCTTGTTTTCTATAATTCGTTCTATGATAATTCGTTCTACATTTTTCGTGTATAGAGTCATTTGATGTGCAGCAAAAGATATATGCAATGTCGTTATCGTCTTCGTGTTTCGAGTGCCAATAAAAAGCTACTAAACATATTATGATAATTTCTCAGACGATAACTATTATGGATTTTCGTAAATTTTAAACGAACGCAAATATTCACCGTTTAAAAGCTTTACCGTGTAAAATAAATCATTTCTCGAGTATGTACATAAGTACACACCTCCCACTACAGGGGGGACGTGTACGTCGCAGATAAATGTCACTGGTAATTATAGAAGTTACGACACTCATTGATTGGCTTTGAAAAAATTACCGTATCAGTTAATTAACATGAATTATATTCGCTCGTGCGTAGTATACAAATTTTTGACTGAGCTTTCTAACAACATTCGTACGTGTTACTTTGGCGTTTAAGCCAAAAAACAAAGGGAAACTAATTGTCTGTTCTGAGAATGTCGTAACACTCTGATATAATATATAAATATTTGTCGGTTGACGAATGACTCGTGCGAAATTCTCTCGAAAAATAACCTTTTGTTAACGTTCTGTAAGGTGAGAAATAAATTTACTATTTCAATCGACAATAATGTGCAAGATTTCGTATTTATTGCTTCGTTGGGATCCTATCGTCATTTTAATGAACTTAGCGAACGCATAGTTTTTTACCCGGTGCCGTAATAATTATCACAAACATGTACGTTAAATGTCGTATTGATTGTGCTGATTCGCGGTGGCAAATAAATTTAGCCGTTATGAGTGAATTAAATCGAAGAATTTGTTTGTGTTTTCAAACACTATTAGCGAGACGTTAAATGCGACCCGTTCAATGATATGCTCATTTTTTAAATAAACATCATGAACTTAAAATCGTACGTGCCCGTAGGTGTGGCCCGTCAGGACGGCGTGTGCAATCTTTGAGCAAACAGACTGCACAAATTACACTGTCGTTGACGTAAAGCCGCAACAATATTATATGAGGTAATAAAATGCTGCGTACTCGATAAAAAATTCTCGGCTGTGCGTTATCGCGGTACCCATTGGCTAAAAAACATTGTAATGACGAACGGAGTTTGTTGAACCTCGTAGTGGTGGTGTTGTAGGCCTCGGTGTTGATAATTAAACAGAAATGTTCATATTATAACCGATTACGGACAGTTGAAGTGTTTACCTGAATGACACGACGGTGATTATTCACTGGTTGATTAGCGTCACAAATCACAATGTTGTTAATTATGCTAACGAAGGGCGGGATAATGTAATTACACTAACCTTGCACAGAAACCCGACACCGTCGAGGGATATTCCCGTAGGCCGTTACCTATCCGGCGGAGGGTGTGCCACGACTGCAAAACGACCGTAATGAAACTAATAAAAACAATAATGAAGTACCGCAAGACAAACAACCCGGTCTCGTTTATTATCAGACGACAACTTTGGTAATGGTTGTAAATCGATCTTAAATACGGAAAATAAACCAAAGACTAATCACTTCCTCGAGCGATTTACACGTGTGTGGTGGTGTCCCGCACAACACAAATCGTTCAACACACGTGTATTCGTTGCTCTAAACTGGCGCATAATTAACAATTGTTATTAACGCCGAAGATAAAAAAAACCCACTGAAAAACATGTCGACGGTAACCGGCGGAAAAACATTCACCGGTCGCACGCACGTTCCAGTTTTTTTCCGCGAATACGTTATTTTTTGTTTCGAGGGGAAAAAACCGTCAAGAGCTAAAAGTTGAAAACCGGATTTCTCTCAGCCTAATTATTAGCGGTCTCCTCGCGTTCATTAAATCAACGGGGTCGTGTCGTCGTCGTTGTTGTCGGTAGCCTTCGACGCGTTCGGCCCCCAAAACTAGTCTAGACGTGGTACTCGTACTGTTTGTGCACGTCGGCTAAATCAATGCTAGTGACTGAAAAAAATTGTTGCGCCGCAAATTGGCGACGTTCGATAAATTCGTTGTTCCAATTTGTAATTTAATCATACAGGAGTATTTTTTTTTTTTCTCAACAATATCGGCAATTCATCAAAGACGTTCGTAATGTGTACACAGCAAGTCGTAGGCGTTGTGGAGACATGTACTTGCTACCCGAACGCAACGCAGTCGACCAAGTCACACAATGCTATCTATCCGATCTGTAATGTAAACAATAGCCTGAGCTCGACCTACAGCCGATCGTCTAGTTTACGCTGAACTTCTTTCGGGCTCCGCTTCGAACAGCTCAAAACACCACCTACGCATATCTTTTTGTGCCGATAATTCTGACGTGCGCTCCGAGTTGATTTTTCTGTCGATCGGCTTAAACGAGAACCGACCACCGAACGCGAGACAACTAGTAAGTGTTTGGACATCTCCTTCTAATCGCTCTCGCCATGTTTTGACAACAATAATTGAGCACAGGAATCGATTGGGTCCACTAGGACGTGTGACCAACTGCTGACGGCGATTACCGTACTAGATTTTGTGTTGTATTATTTGCGGCTTGCGAATACAATATACGCCAAGCCCAGTAACGGTTTGTGCTCTGCTTTGTGCGAACGCACCCCGCGGTGTTTTTTATTTTATTGCCGCCCGAAGTGGTGCCGCTCGAGGGAAGAGAGCTTGCGAAACCGACGCGATGCAGCGCGTCCACCGTCGTCTATGTACGTTTCTCGTCATTCCGGATCCGAGGGTTCGACGACATTATATGTTTATCCTGTTCCGCTACCGGTGCTGGCGAAGCTGGTAGAGAGTGTAAGTTATATTGCATTGTGTAGCGCGCAGGGCGAAATTATTCGGAGACTCACCACCTTGCCCCCACCGACGGGGACAGCTGCCGGTTGTCGTGGGAAACGCGACCCCCGAAAAAACCGCATCACAGCTGCATTGGAGCGGGCTCTTTGGGCACCAACTGCAACGACAGAAGCGATGGCGCACAGTCCCGACGTGTGATGTACATCTGCATCGGACCGGGTCTGGTCATCAGCTGCACGACACATACACACGTTGCACGGCCCGCGTGTTTTCCAATAATTTTATTGTATTGCGTCGATACTACTGGCGGCGGTGAGTGCGAGTTCGTCACCGGGTGTCGACCAGTTCGTTGTGTGCCTGGCAGTGTGTCAGTGGAAAACCGTGCCGTCTCTATAACGCACACAATATGTATCTATACCGGAATCGAAAAAAACACCAGGCCTAATTGTACGGCGAACGGAAGAATCCGTTAAAAAATAATACCGCCGGATGTATCAATACGGAGGGCTTCTAATTGTTTTCTACCGAGTAATGAGGTGCTGCTGCAAAACGTACTTCTTTAATTCTTAACGCGAATATTCACAGCATAAAAGTTAAAATTTTTAAGAAATAAAACATTTTGAATTATTGTGTTAGAAGAAACGATTTGAAAGATGGGATTTGTTTAATTGTACTTTGCTAAAGTTTCATTGGAGACTTTAACGTATTTGGTATTTTTAACGTACGACATCTGGAAGTGCTAAATTTCAAATCAAGAGGGTTAAGTACCTCTAATTTCACCAATAAATTTTGTTCGATCGAAATATATCAACTGAACACATTAATTCGTAATTAACATCGAAAAGGAAAACATACGTACCACAATAATTTTACTAAAATACTTTTGTTTTCAGTTTTAGACAATAAAACACAAGTTGTTCATTGTCATGCGCAAAAATATTCATAATCGTGTGAGAGCAAGTGATTCTTAAAATATATTTATTTGTTAAGCACATAACGTTGTATGCGAATCGGTTTTTTCTAAGAAAACTTATTTCATTATACACGACTTCAGAGTATTGAAACAGACGCATCGAAGAGTAAACGTGACTTTGATAAGTCGTATATTTCGGCTGTTACCTTGAAGTTGATAATATTAGACGGTAGTACGATGTGTTCCGAGTACGGTTTTATTATTGCTTTTGTTAACTTTTTGGTGTAAAACGATGATTGTTTGTTGAAAAATATTTCCATCGATAAAAAATTCGAACCAATCCGTCTTGAGCCAACCGATTGTGTGTATTCCAATATTGACCGATACGAGTGGTTTTTGACTTGTTATCCCTTCTTTTTTTGCCCTGTCAAATTCCACACCGTGTTTCCTTATGTTAAAGAGGTCACAGGTGTACGGGCCGCTTTAAAAACGACTTCATTTCCATAACGTACCTTAACACGTGTATACACTCGAAGCGTGATGTCAGTCAGCCGAGGAATATTTATATGAGTTTTTTAATAGGTGCAGTGTCGGTATGTGTGTTTGTGTGCAATTGCCTGGTAGATAATATTTTGTTAACAAGCCATGATTGTTGAACACGTGTGCACAGCACTATAGAGTAATAATAATTGACATATGTCACGGTCACTACAGGAAAACGCCGGCTTGCTCTCTATTATATCATTTACTACAACTCGTCCCGAATTTATTTTGTGCTTAACTACGGTCAGACAACACTAAAAAGAGTTTCCT